AAAGTTAGGGTCGGTTTCTTTGTATGTTCACAAACAAGTAGTAGGTTAGGTGTAATGAGAGAGACGTGGAAAGATCTGATATTTGTGGTTCTCACGGACTACATTGCGGCTAGAGAAAGAGAGAGAGATTGTGTAGATAAGATGGTCTTATTAGGGATTTGGATTGCCAATTTGGGGTAGTGAAATCAAACCCGGATCTTCACTTCAAAAGTTTATGTTTTCTTTCTGAAAAAGCCCTTGTTTTTATTGAAAACTTAACAATTTGGCACAATAACTTTGTCTTTGGGACCACTCAAACACAATTCTGAATATCCCAAATTGGGCTTAGATTGGTTCTACTCAAATGGGCCTATTTTGGTTTAGGCCCTTTTTACCTTATCCATTAAAGAAAATCCCCCAAGTGTGAAAGGGAAATGTTCCATAGACCATCAACACAAAATGACATTTTGAAAATGTAGACTATATATCTCATACACTATCACAAATTCAAACAAGATTTTTTCTCTGTCTTTGTTTTTATCTGTCTAATAAAAGATATTTTGTATTTGTGGTTCCAAAAAGCCCTTATCTTGAAACCATATATCAATTACTCCTCCTTCATCCATCCAAAAGAGTTTCTCACTAGATCGGTTTCCATGGCTGCAACCGCTAACACCGCAGCTATTTTCGCCTCTTCTTCGCAGCCTTTATCCTCTAAACGAATTTTATGTAAGTCTTTTTCACTTAATATTCACATCTCTTTGATGTTAATTTATATATACCCCATAGGCTTTTATGTAATTTTATATTTGATGAAGCTTTTTGAATCATATAGTGTATAGTTCATCGATTGGTCCAATAATACAAAGGAGAATTCCAAAGAAGAAACTTGATCTTCAAGTAAAAGCTGTTGCCACGACTCTTGCAACCCAAGAAGAGATCAAAGAGTTTGTCTTGTTTTAGCTCATCTTGTTACTTTGTTTGATATAAGTCTATGAATATAATAAGTAACATGTATTTCATGATTGAATAATTATTGTAGATATAAGCTTCCTTCATGGGCAATGTTCGAGATGGGGACGGCTCCTGTGTATTGGAAAACCATGAACGGTTTTCCTCCAACCGCAGTAAGTTTCCCTAACCGTTATTCGATTCGGCTTCCAATGCTATTAGCTTTGAATGAAGACTCTTTAACTAAAACTTCTTATGAAATATTTTTTGGATTAGGGTGAAAAGTTGAAACTTTTCTATAATCCAGCTGCAACCACTCTCATTCCTAACGAGGACTATGGGGTTGCTTTCAACGGTGAGTTTCCCATATATAACATCTAGTTAACTTTGTATTCAAAAATTGTCCAAATTAGTTGACGCAATTGGAGGTGTTTGTGATGCTTGCTTGTAACTTCTTGTCATTTCCAAATTAAGTTAGTTGGACGCTACATATAGACAAATCTTATGAACTAACAAAAAAATGAAAAAGAATGATTCAATTGGTTACTGATGGTGCAGGAGGATTTAACCAACCAATAATGTGTGGTGGTGAACCAAGAGCAATGCTTAAGAAAGATCGAGGCAAAGCCGATTCTCCCATTTACACTATGCAGATTTGCATTCCTAAGCACGGTCTGTTTTTATAGAATCAACATCATTATTATGTGATAAAGTAGTTGCTAGTATATTATTTGACATTTTCATCCTTGTATATATGAATCATTTTCAGCTGTGAATATGATATTCTCGTTCACCAACGGTGTCGATTGGGACGGTCCGTACAGACTTCAGTTCCAAGTCCCCAAGCGATGGCAAAACAAGCCAATTGAGTTCTTCAATGAGGTATAGAATGGTTTTCTTTAGATGTGAATTTATTACTTATTCATACATGATGTATGCACAACTTATGATTTGTATATTTTATCAATTGGTGCAAAAAGGGTCTAGCGAAAGAGTTGAGCCAAGATGGAGCCTGCGAGAGAGCAATATTCCCGGATTCGAACATCGTTGCGACACGGTGCACAATGATCGCCAACTTGACGGTCGAAGGAGTACGTATCTCACCAACTTCATAATAAAAAATAATTTGCTAGATATAGATATTTAAGGTTTTCTAAAACATGAATAAATTTCAGGGAGATAGATGCAATCTGGATCTGGTTCCTGGGTGCATGGATACAAATTCTGAACATTTCAACCCGTTGGCTAATGTTGATGATGGCTCTTGTCTCCTTGAGTTATCTGATTCTGATGAATAGAACTAAATCTTTATTCATGTAAATATCAATATTTGAATTCAAATATGTATACATGTGGACTTGTGGTAGTTAAACAATAGTGTACGGTTAATATTTATTACTCACATAAGATTTTGTTATGTCTTTTGTGTGTTTAAATCCATCTCAAAATCAGTTAACAATAAATACATTGGCTTATATGCAATGTTTTTAAAACCGGATCGGATGACGAGTCTTCTGGATCATGGTTCAACCCGGTCTAACCGGTTCAACCGGGTTCATATAGGACATATATAAAACATACTTAACTTAGTTTACTTCGTATACTTAATAAGGACATGTCATAAACAAAACCCTAGATTAATTCTACTCTTATTAAATATTAACTATATTTTTTGTTCTATATAAAAGTGTTGCCGCCGTCCATCTCTTGTCTTGCTATCTTCAACCTTTTTCTCTTCATCAACCTTTTTCTCTTCATAAACTTATGTAAAAACATTCTTCCGTTTGCTTTTCTCTTCATTTCATGTTAATAGAATCTATTAATTAGATCAAAATCAGTCAAAATTGATGAAAAAGTTAGATAAAAATCAGTCAAAATAGATGGAAAAAA